AATTCGCTTCAAAAGAGGATGATGGGCCTTGAAGAAACTCCTTGTGGAGTTTGCTTTCTTCATGGCCAAAGCTAGCCATTTGGGCAAAGAAACTGCCCTTACCTCAGTTGCTGATAGTACAATGTCCAAACTTGACCAACATGTAGCAAAAAAAAAAAAAAAGCGACTGCTAAACTTTATCAAGACAAGGTAGGGCAGTCCTTTACAGTTACCTGCTTCTCAGAAATGTCTGTCAGATATACTAGGCCTGTACGTCAAAGTTGGGTGCCCCAATGTTATGAAAGAACTCTGGGTGACTGTCTAGGCAGCCAGATGTCCCTGTTGTTAGGTAACATTTCACCCTTCTGGGTTTTTGATGGAGTTAAAGACTAAATAATTAGGCTTAAAGTTTTCCTTAGTTATGAAAAAGAAAAAGGTATAAAACTTAGACTCACAAAGATAAGATAAATAATAGAATATTTTCTCTAAATTTGCCGAACGCAAATGGACTGGATGTTATAACTGTAATTCTTACTTCATAACTGTTTTGTTGTATGTAACTATGTTAAAATTAAAACCTTTCCTTTTTATGTAGACAAAAAAGGGGAAATGCTGTGGAATGGCCCTTCTGTACACTGTGAAAATGTGTTGCTCTCATTGTTGATAAAATCCGATTGGTCAATAGGTAGGCAGGATTTTTTGGGCAGAGAGAATACTGGGAAGAATGGCAGAGTCTGAGGAGTTTCGAGCGAGACTAAGAAGAAGCAACATGGGGAGTTCATAGATGAAGTAAATGGACCTTGGGGCAGCACACAGATTGATAAAAATGGGTTACTTAAAGTTGTAAGAGCTAGCTGGAGACAAGTCTAAGATATCATCTGAACATTTATAATTAAGTCTCTGTGTGGTTATTTGAGGAGCCAGCTGATGGGACAGAAGATCTTCACCTACAGTTTCCTATGCTCAGGACACCACCCAGTGTTTGAGTGCATTTCTTGTTGCCTTCTGGTCAAGCTGTAGCCAGCATCACGTTTGTCTGCATGCCATCCTGCTCCTAGCCATGATGATGGTGGCCTGAACCTATGGAACTGTAAGGCAGCCATCCCAGTTAAATGTTTTCCTTATAAGAGTTGCTGTGGTCATGGTGTCTCTTCACAGCAACATAAACCCTAACTAGGACTATCTGTCACACCTGTGCCATGGTGCACACACACTCCTCCTCCATACACACACATACACACATACATACACACACATACACATACACACATACATACACACTCATACACAAAACAAAAATACATCTTTTCCAAAAATAATTTTAAAAAGGACAATATACAGGTGGCTTAGATTAACCTGTTTTTTCTTTTTACGTGTGTGTGTGTGTGTGTGTGTGTGTGTGTGTGTTCACTCACCATGACACATGGATAGAAGTCAAAGCTTAGCTTTCTCCTTTCATTGTATGGCTTCCAGGATTTGAACTCTGGTCTTCAGGCTTGGCAGTAGGCTCTTTTTACCTACTAACCTATCTTGCTAGACCCAAATTTGTTTCATTTTATTTTCTTATTTTGTATAAAAAATAAGTTACTTAATCTATTTCATAATATGGGAGATAATTTAAGCCATTTTAAAGACCTTTGTAGGAGCTGGGCAGTGTGGTGTACACCTTTAATCCCAGCACTTGGGAGGTGGAGGCAGGTGGATCTCTGTGAGTTGGAGGCCAGCCTGGCCTACAAAGTGAGCTCCTAGATAACCAAGGCTACAAGGAAAAAAAGGTTTTATTATTATTTTATATGTATGGTGTTTTTGCATGTTCACACATGGTACAGAAGAGACCATTAGATCCCTGGGACTGGACTTACAAGTGGTTGTAAGCTGCCGTGTGAGTGCTAGGAATCAAACCCATGTCTTCTGAGAGAGCAGCTAGTGCTCTAACCAATGAGCCATTTCTTCAGTCCCTGAGCCATCTTCTAAAAAATTGCATTTTTGTGTTCTTAGTTGGTTATCACGGTTAAATAAGGATCAGGATAAACTAGTAGGCCGAACAGATGTTTACTCAGGGAGAAATAACTTACAACCTAGACAGATGAACACCAGGAAATTCTACCCGATGCTCTCCTGTCCGAGTCATGCCAGCAAGAGAGCTTTTCCCGGCCCTCTCTGTGACCTCCTTCCACAGGTCACTTCCGCCCATGGCTCCACCCCCAACGGGCGTGGTCAGTGCCACAGAAGGACTATCTCACTACAGTTGGTTGGTTTGGTTTGTTTGTTTTCTTCTTTTCTTTTTTTCTCAGACACTGTCTCATTATGTAGCCTAGGTTGTCCTGGCACTCCTGATGTAGACCAGGAACTCACTGTGGAGATTCCCTTGCAGCTGCTTCCCAAGTGATGAGATTAAACGATCCAGGCGCTGTTGTTATGTTCTTGATGCTCAGCACAGGCAGGGCTTAGAGCTGCCTGATCTCCTGTGTACCTACCACATGCATGCCTGGTGCCTGAAGAGGCAAGAAGGGGGCATCAGATCCTCTCGAACTGGAGGAACTCGAGTTACAGATGGTTGAGAGCCACCACATGGATGCTGAGAACTGAACCCAGGTCATCTGCGAGAGCAAGTGCTCTTTACCCCTGAGCCATCTCTCCACCCCGCTTTGTACTGTTTGTTCTTAAGGATGAGGTTGGGATCCTTCTAAATAGGGAGAGGTTTGGGAAGGAAGGAACTTGTGTGGTACTAACATTTACTCTCCCTAGATAGAGAATTAATGACAGACAAAAGTCAGGATATCCTCCAAGTTTAATTGTGAACTAATGACGTTAGAGGGGTTACTTATAGGAGTATGGGCCTGGGGTTGCTTGCAGGAATAAGAATGACTGAAAAGCAACCACATTGCTGAAAGTTGACCCCAGCATGAGCGGCAGCTCATGAAAACTGGAATCCTGGAACTCCCTACAGGACTTGCAGGCATCTCTGCTCAGCCGAGCCCCTTCCAGGCAGCTTGGCTGGTCTGAGTGGCCTCTGCTGTCCCCATTGCTTGTGTGACCAGGGGAGAGAGCAGGCTGGTTCATCTGGCCAATGTCAGGGACTTCCTGCAGCTTTTGAGTTGTTTACTTCCTGACTTTTAAAGAGATTCCCTTCAGAACATTTTCCTTTCCTCCCCACTCCCTTGAAACAGGTCTTATGTGACTTGGCCTCAAACTAGCCATGCAGCCATGTATAATAACTTGGGATTTGTGCTTCTCCTGCCTGTTTGAGAGGGCCGTGGAGCCACACCAGAGCCAGGACAGGGTTCTAATAGCCCCTGTTAGGGACCAGGACTTAGTTTTAGTTTGCTGAAGGTGGCTGGAGCTGAACAAGTTCTCTTAGAAGAACCACAACTCAGGGGCAATCAATCAGCAGGCCCGAGAGCTGTCTGAGAGCTAAAGATAGCTTTCCCTACCCTGCCACTGCAAAGTCCCTGACCACTAGGGACACCTACCAATCCTATGAACTTTTGTTTAAACCTACCAATAGGCTCCCAGACTAAACTCTCTTCCCTGGAATTCTCCTAACCCTGCTTACAAGTGGCGGGGGGGAGTTGCCACTTGCCACTTTGTCAGATGTTTGGACCCCGACAAGTTGTTAATATTAATAAATGCTCTTGTTGATTGCACATGTGACTGGCAGTCTTTCATGGAACTTCTCATGGACCCTAACAGTTCAGCTGGAATCTGCAGCTCACCTTTGCTCGATCAGGAAAGCCCCATCCCTCTCTCTAAACCCTGCCCTCTCAGAGAATCTCCACCAAAAAGCCACCAAAAAGCCACCAGAAAGCCCAGTTCTACATTCTTGGTGGCTGCAGCAGCTCCTCCCCGAAGTTGCCAGCAGCCTAAGACCCCACCTAAAGTGGTCAGCTTTCGAGCATACTTGGGCACAAACCCAGTTTGTGGAGGACACATCATCACCCCTAACTTACAGGGTATATAAGCTCCCTGCTTTTGTTCTGCCGTGTGACTTCTCTGGCTGGGACTGAGAGGTTCACCCTGGAGTTGCTTTGCTCAAATAACCCTGTTCTTTTACTTTTTCAATTCAGCTTGATCTGGCTCACTGCATCTTCAGAGAACTCTATTATCATCGAGTTACAGAAAACCTGTTACTGCCTCTACTTCTTGAATGCTTGGCATTACAGACATGAACCACACCTGGTGAATCATCAATTTTTTTTAGTCAGAGGAAATTATTTTCTTATTCTGGTGAATAAGCGCATTAGTCACAAAACAATTGCCTTAAAAAAGGAAAGATCTGGCTAGAGAGATGGCCCAGTGTTTATGAGCGCTGGCTACTCTTCAGGGTTTGTACCCAGCACCAACACAGCAGCTCACCATCACGTGTAACTCTGGCCTCAAGGGATCAAGTGCCCTTTTCTGGTTTCTGGGGGAACTGCACAAATGTGGTGCACAGGCAAAGCACCCATACATGATAAACAAAAATTTAAAAGAAAGAGCACTGTTTATTTCAAAATGTTTTTAGTAAATTGGGCATGGTGGCGCACAACTGTAGCTTTAGCTCTAGGGATGCTGAGGATGGAGAACTTCTGAGCCTCTAAATTTGAGACCAGCTTGGGAAATAGAGTAAGAACTTGTCTCAGATGATTAGTGATTGGACTTGTAGACACAAGTTCACACCAGTCCTCCCTCAAGGAAAATGTATCGAGAAGAAGACAATTGTTTTAAAAACTGTCAGTTTGCAAGCACACTAAAGAAAAACCAGGACTTTCTTCACATCATACAATCAAGGCAAAATGTAGAACAGTATTTAATTATGTGAATATATGTGTGGGTGTGTGCAGGTGTCTGAAGAGGCCAAAGGCCTTGGGCCTCTGTGGAGCTGAGGTCAGGGGCAGTTGTGAGCCATGTGACGTGGGTGCACTAACTATGTTGTTTGCAAGAACAATCCATCTCTCCAGCCCAACATTAAGAGTGGAAATTTTAGGCCAGCCTTAGCTACATAGTCAAACTATGTTGAAAACAAAACAGCAGAATGTTGATGGGATTATAGAAAAGAGAGTTTATTCTATGTACTGTCTGTGATTTTAATATGGAATCATAGTGGTTATCAACAATTGGTCAGATAATTATTTTGTTCACTACACACTAGATTCTGACCTAGTGAACACTGAGGTCAGTCTTCCTCTCCAATCTCTTTCTTGATCCAGTCAACATAATTGAGTAATTTGGTGTAGAAGCCGTATCCTTCACCACACCCAATGCCCCAGGACACAATGCCTGTGGCAATCCAGATATCACGATCTCGGTCCCTGACTGCAAACACACTTCCACTGTCCCCTTGGCAGGCATCGTGCTTTAGAGTTGGGTCCCCAGAACAGAACATATTTTGAGAAAATACATCATTACTCTTTTTTGTCTGGAGCCATCTCTGGCATGCATCTCGATCAGCTATGGGAAGACGGACAAACCTGAGGTTAAAAGCGATTCTATCTTCTGTTATCCCAAAGCCACTGACATAACCCATGAGGCCTTTGTCATAGAAGGTCTCATTGTCAGGGAGACAGATGGGGAGGAGGTTGGGACCCAGGGTGACACTGTTTTCCAGTTCCAGCAGGGCAATGTCTCCTTCAAAATTGTTAGGTTCATCTTGGCGGTAGTCGGGATGGATGATGACCCTACGGACAGGGCGATGTCCCAATTTTTCGATCTCTTCCACATTTATGTGGCCCAGGAAAACATCTTTACTGGCATTGCTTTGTTTGTTTTGTTCCTTGGGGTAGATGGTATGGGCTGCGGTGAGGACCCAGCGGTCTCCGAGCAGGGCCCCGCCCCCTCGCCCATGGATGTTGGTGAATGCCTGCCAGGGGAAGTTGCCAGGTTTGGCTTTCTGCCCTCCGATGATACGCTGCTTCTGTGTCACAGGGTTGACAGGCTTCCCACACACTGTAAGGAGACGGGAATCGGGATGAGGACCAGTCAGCCCCAGGTCCCGCCCTCTCTTCTTCCTTCTTTGGCTCAGTTTCTCTCTCTTTGTTGCTCTTGACTCTTTTTTTTTTTTTTTTCCTTTATCTTCCTATAGCCCATTCTTGGCGAACTTCCCTTATTCTTATTTATTCCTTCCCCGAATTTCTGACTTTACTCTCTGATTCCTTGTCTGCGCACTAGACCGTGTGACTAATTTAGATTTTTCTGCCTCTCTCCTGGGACCCTCATTCTGGCTCTTTTCTCCTTCCTCCTCACCGGGCTTTCACTTTGGGCTGAGGCATTGCTTCACTTGACTTCCTTTCTCTGTACCACACTTCTCCTAAGGCCTGGGATCACCCGGTATTTACCTGGCAGACACCGGGGCATCTTCTCTCCTTCCTCTTCATTCTTCCAAATGCCCTGGGCTGTGCAGGTGTATAACCCTGCAGACAAAAGGAGGTAGAGTCAAGGCTGGAGGTGATGGGCTAGGAAGCAGGCAGCAGAGGCCATTGAACACTAAGGCTAAGGCTGTTATATCGGGAGTTGGAGAGAAGGGCCACCATATATATCATGGATCAAAGTTAACTGATTCCAATCTATATGGACATATAAATGTGTTAACAGACTCCACACACACATTTTGCCTTATTGTTGAGTGAAAAAAGTCAGAATACTTAACTATATGTATCTGGGGTGACACCCATTTGTAAAAGTCGACTCACACATGGGAGGAAGCTAGCCAAAGCTTACCAGTGAAGCATCTGGGAAGCAGGATTATAGATAACAATGCTAGTCCTTCCTTCCTGTACCTCTCTCTTCAGGTTTCAGTGTTCAGCACGGGCTGGCCTTGACTTTGCTATGAAGCTCAAGCTGGCCTTGAACTCTCCATCCTTCTGCCATAGTCACCCAAGTGCCAGCATTCCAGGAGTGCAGCACCACACCCAGCAGTAGCTACACCTTCTGATTGCTGGTACCCTGCCATATTTGTTACTGAGTATTTTATCTGCATTATCCCATTGTAACACAGGGACCCTTTCAAGTATAGATTATCTATATGTTAAAATAAGGAAACTAAGATTAAGTTCTTCCTCCCTCCCCCCTGCCTTCTTTCCTGATGGGGGATGTCCTTCTGTATGCTGTGAATGAATACATGTTTCTCTTATTGGTTGATGAGTAAAGCTGTTTTGGCCAATGTACAGGTAGGATTTAGCCAGGTGGAAAAGCCAAACAGGGATAGAGAAAGGTAGTAGGCAGAGAAGTCAAGGAGATGCCATGTAGCTGCCAAGGAAACAAGAGGCCCAGGCATGGCCAGCAAGCCATGACCATGTGGAGATACAAAGATTAATAGAAATGGGTTAATAATTAAGAAAGAGCTAGCAAATAAGAAGCCTGAGCCATTGGCCAAACAGTTTCTAGTTAATATTAGCCTTTGTGTGTTTATTTGCTACTAAACAGCTACAGGACTGGGAGGGACAGAAACTTCCATTAACTCCTTCTTTCCTTCCTCCCTCCCTCCCTCCCTTCCTTCCTTCCTTCCTTCTTTCTTTCCTTTCTTCTTCCTTCTTTCCAGTGTTGAAGATGTACCTCAGTTACTCTCACATGGTAGGCAAGTGCATTGTCCTTGAGCAATATCCTCATCTCGGATTTTTTCTTTTTAATTTAAAGAGAAATTTTGGTTAAGTGTGGTGGCATACACCTATAATCCTAGCTCTTGGGATATAAACGAAGGAAAACTAGGTGTTTAAAATCATCCTTGGCTATACAGTGAGTTTGAGAAGTGGGGATAAGAGAGAAGAGAAAATAGTAACCAATATGGCAGGCTAGGACTATAGTTCACTGGTAAGAGTGCATAAGAGATGCCCTAGGTTCAATCTCTATGACTACAATAAACCAACCAACCCACAATGAGTTTGAAAATTAGTAAGTAAATCTAAATGCAAAAGATCACAACATAACATCCTGAGAGAGGGAGACTAGAGAGGGCATTGCACTCTAAGTATGATGGTGGTGATGGTGATGGCTGTCATGATGGCGTAGTGTTATTATTAATGGTAGAGTTGGTGGCAATGACTTTTATTGGTATTGCTAATGAATGGATATGGTGGAGACTGTTGATGTGGTGATGATAATATTGATGGCAGTGATGGTGATATTGGTTTTGGTAATTGTGATGGTGGCAGTGGTAATGTGGTAGTGAAGATAGTTGATGTTGGTAATATCAGTGTGGTGGTGATATTGGTGTTGCCTATGGTGTTGGTGGTGACTGTTGGTGTTGGAAGTGACAGTGGTGATGGTGGTATTGGTGGTGTGTCAGTGGTGGCTTTGGTGGTGATTGTGCTGGTGTTGGTGCTATCAGTGGATGATGGCATTGTTATTGGTAATCGTTGTGGTGAGAGGGAACTGGTGGCTTATGAGAGTCTTTGTTTTCCATCAGCTTGGGTGCCCATTTCTTCAAACCTATTTGAATTTTTTTTTTTTTTGCGTTGTAATTTAGGATCCTTCAGCCAGTACCTAGGACTCCACTAAAGACATTTCAGGTGTCTACAAAGGTGTCCCTCACAGCTGGAAAGAGCACTGAGGACTGAAATGGGCATCAGTTCCTACCTCGCACAGACTCGCTACTGCCAGCTCTGGTCTTCATCTTGTAATATGGTTCATGGCAGGAATATTGGATACTGGCTTCATAGGTGTTCACACCTTTTGTGGTGATGTAGCGGAAGTCCCCATTAGACAGGCTTCGGGGCTGCCCACAGTCCTTGACTTAGAGAGAACACAAGTTTGTAAGGGAGTGGAGATCACCTGCCTAGAAACTTCCTTGGGAATGTGAGCTGTCTCAGAGAACCTCAGAGAAGTGTGGTCAGTAGGGCAGACACTTGCAATGGATGGAGAGAAGTTCAATTCTGTCAGAGCCCATCATGCCTAAGATGAGAACTCAGCTTTGTGAGGCGGGCCATGAACTTCAAGGGACAAGCTGAGGGCCAGGACCCTGCAGATGAGAGCCTGGATTCTTTTTCCCTCCCAGTGCAAGGCTCAAGACTGAGGGATGGCAGGTCCCTAGGGGCAGACACAGCCGGTTTGTGACTTACTCTTGCACCTGGGCATGGCACGATGCCATGTGCCATCATCCTGGCAGACAGCTGTGAAGGAGAGCAGCGCCTGGTTTCCCTGTCAGAGTGGAAATTAGACCAGCCATCAGCACACAACTCCCCGCTTCCATGCTGCATCCGGAGTGGAGGGAGGGCGATGACAGGTGTGGTGTCCACCTCTTAGACAGCTGGGGCTGAGAGATGTGGCTCCTCCCTCCTTCCTAGTTAGTGCTCTCAGGCCAAGGCTGCAGATGGGTTACTGAGTCGAAAGTAGAACTCCACAGCAAGGCCAACTGGTAGACCCAATAATCTTCTTTTTAGGTTCTTGTCTGTTTCCACTAGGCCCCATCCCCACCCCAAAATTGTAATAAATAACAAACAAGTCAGATTGAGCTTTGGTATCTCAACAAAGACCATTTTCCGGAGCAGACCCTGCTTCTTACTCTCTTGCCCTGAAACGTCCTCCCAGCCAAAGTCTGTGCTACATTCTCTCCTAGATTGCAGTTTCCTTAAAGTCAAGGGCTCTCCCTAAAATACTAATGCCACCCGGCCGCTTTCATAGGCGTTCAGCACCATGATGGTGAGTGGGCAGCTGGCACAAGACCAAAAAGTGTCAGTCTCTTGATGACACTGGAGAACATGAATGTTTGAGACAGGACCTTGTTATATAGCCTAGGCTGGCCTGGAACTAGCTATGCAGCCCAGGCTGGCCTCTAATGCATGGTTTTCCTGCTTTATCTCCCTAAGTGCATATAACAGGTGTATGTCACCGCCGCACCTGGCTATAAATAACTTGCTAAGAGCTAGAATGGGTCTCAGGGCAAATACTTGTCATCCCAGGACTCAGGAAATGGAGGCAGGAGGATAAAGAGTTTGAATTGAGCCTGGTCTGTATAGTGAGACTGACGGTCCCCAACAACCTGCCAACTGTCCCTTTTCCCCTGCCTACTGGACTGCATTTCTTTGTCAGTCTGCAAAGCTGGGACAGGGCAGGCAGTATCAAAGAGCTCCAGAGGGTTGGGTACTTGTCCCTGCCGTACAGCAGCCACTGTGTGATGTCCACCCTGACTTTTGAGTTCTTATTCCTACAGTGAGTAATTAAAGTAGTACTGTAGCGTTTAAACTTGGCTGTGCATCCAAACCCCAGGGGGTAGTTTTAAATAGTGTTCAGGCTGTCCTACAGCCTAATGGAATTAGATTCTCAAGCAGGGAACCCAGACATCGATTTCTTAAAAACCCTGTTTCCAATATTCAGGCAAAGCTGATTCTTTCTTTTCTTCTCTATGGCACTGGGCATCGAATTAGGGCCGCCCACATGCTAGGCAAACACTCTACTATTGAGCTACATCCCCAGCCCTCTTTTTCACTTTCGACCTTGAGAGAGACAGGGTCTCATCGAGTCACCCGGGTTGGCCCAGAACTTGCTCTGTCGCCCAGGTGGGCCTTGAACCTCAGTCCCTTCTCTGTGAAGTCAGATTGGACAGCAGGCAGACTGGTACTTCATCTCCACCCTCAACAGCCTCATTCGGGTCTAGAGTACTGACCCTGGGACTGTCCATTCTCCCTGGGACACGGGGAAACCTCTCCTGTCAGCCCCACCTCTTACCTCCACGAGCTGGTAGCCTTGTTTGCAGGTGACGATGAAGTAATCCCGGAACTGGTACTGAGGCTGTGGTTCCTGGATGATGGTGAATTCATCTAGGGCCTTGGGTTGGGGGCACTTGATGGCTGTGGGTGAGGCCAGAGGGAGTGCCACATCAGAGCCATTTGTCCTTCCTTCTTCCCGACTTTTCCTCATAATTGGCGGGCAAGGGAGGTGCTTAGATATCCTATTTCAGCTTGGGGGTGCTAAAGATTGGACCCAAGGTCTCATGCATGTTAAACATGAGTTTTACCAGGAAGTCACACTCTACCAGAAACTCCTTACTTTCAGTGGTGTAGCGCAGCTTCCAGCCTCGGCTGTCCCCCGACTCATCCGTGAAGAACACCACATCCACTGCATTGCTGCTGGTGTCGAGGTCTGGAGGTCTTTGATTTCCACAGAATTCACCCAAGTTCTTCCCGTTAGCATAGATCTGATGGGAAGAGTGGGGACTGATGGTATATCTCCACAGGGTACATTCTCCCACGTGGCTTCTTGGGTACCAGCCTCATGGCCGACTGTGGTGGTAGAGATGGAATCCTGCCTGGTATATGTTTTCAGCTGCAGGTAGATGAAGACACTCCCCCAACCCCACTCAGGACCCACTGACTGTTGGGTGGGAGCTGTTCTAGACCACTGTGATGCTGGTCAGCAATGTGTGGTCCTGTCTCAGTCAGCCAGAGGACCCAGGAAGAAGCAGGGGACCCAGGGAGTCAGCCACGTGGATACGTGAAGGAGAGTGTGAAATATGGCTGTACCTGGAGCTGGTCATAGGGACAGTGTACTTGCTGGTGGTCATCAATTTCAAAAGGATCCAGGAACTTGAGGTGCACAGTGAGGCCCCGCTCTACCCGGATGCTGTAGTTGCAGCGCAGATCCGGTGGGTAGGGATGAGGGTATTCCAGGCTAGAGATATACCCTGAGGGCTCTGTGTACAGCCCACTGCTGCACTCAGCTATGAGAGCAGGACCAGATAGGACATTAGAGCTCTCAGGTTGGCCCAGCAATCCCTTCCCAGTCCTTGCCACCCCCTCACCCCCACTCTGCCTCACCCTGACAGGACTGTCCATTTTTCTGAAGCTCATAGCCTGGACGGCAGGAACAGAAGTAGCCTCCAACATAGTTGTGACACAGGTGTTCACACCGGGGCTGGTAGTCTCCTTCCACGGAGTTGGACTGGGGTGCACATTCGTCAAGGTCTGGAAGGGATTCCAGAGGGAAGGGTAAGTTCCCACCCTGAGACTTCTGGGATCAGATGTGCTACTGTTGTGCCAGGGCATGGGGGCCTCTTTCCAGAGACTGCTAATGGTTCTTCCTCAAAGAGACACGTGCCAGAAGCCAGGAGACAATGATGTCTGCTTCTGGCCTCCACACCTCCCTAATGCTGTCTGGGAACTGCTCCGTGGCAACAGAGCCCAGGTTGTCAGACCCCATCTTGCTGAGAGAAATAAGAAGAACCAAGCTTCTGGCTCCTTTGGGTTCAAGCTTGTCCCCGACCCACTCGTATGGCTGAGGCCAGAAGGAAGGGCTGGCCGCAGGGACCACTCACCCACAGCCTGGTAGTAGGCCAGGAAGCCCTTGTAGAACATGATGGTCCCATTCTCTTCGTTGGAGAAGTCTGTGTGAAAGGTCAACAGCATCTTGTTCCCCTGGGACATGAATTCCTTCTCTCCCGGGGGGTTGCCCAGGGGAGAGTCTAGCTGGCCACAGAACCGCCCTAGAGTTTTCTTATCAGCAGAAATCTGTCGGAGGAAGGACAGACGAGAGCTCTGCTGAGGAGCCTGGTCCCATGTGTCAGGCCAACTCTCTTTTGCCCCCAATTGGATCATGATCTAATGTTACTATCTGTCAGATCTGGATGCTATGGACATCTCCAGGAGATGCTTCCCTGTCTATCTCAATCATGCATTAATTTCTTTTCTTTTCTTTTTTTGTGGGTAGAATCTTACTATGTAGTCTAGGCTGGCACCAGAGACTCAAGGCCAGCGTTTCTACAAAGCTGTACAATGATGGGGTGCAGGCATATTGTCCAGGGTGTTTAGAGCACAGATTTCCAGCTTCTCTCATGGCCCAGCCTTTTCTCCCTTCCTTCCCGCCTGACTCCTTCCTACCTTGACATAGTCATATAAACAGCCTTCAGAGGGTTCCACGTCAAAATGCCAGAAGACGAGCTTCACCCTGTACCCTCTGGGGACCATGATCACAGTGGTTGTCTCAAAGTCATTGGGGTAAGGCTTGGGATATAGAGGGGAGGTCACCTCTCCATAGAGCTTCTGAGGGGTGTAGATGGAGCCCCCCACCCTGCAGAACAGGGTCACCAGAAGGAGGGCGAAGAGTTGCCTGTTAAAGAGAGGGGTGCGGTGTTTGTGAGGCTGGAAGGGTGCAGCACCCTTGCCATTTGGGCTGCTGTGGGGCAAAGATGGGGTGACTAAACTGCCCATCCTTCCCCTCTGACCATTCTAGACTACATAGAGGTCCTGTGCAGCAGCCTTCGCAACCGCTACCTCGGTGTCACCCCAGGCCAGTGTCCAGTCCAGAGGTCACCATGCTCCCCCCACCCTAGGCTGCCTCCTCTGCCTTCCGCTTTCATCTCCTTTTCTTCCTGGAATAGGACTGGCTTGGGACCAGCTCACTGAGGGGGAAGACAGCTCTGCAAGGGCTCCTAAGGCTTCAACAAAGGTGTCTGGGAGACCCTTCACAGAGTCTGAGAAATACACAATAGGGGAGTCTCTCCTCATTCCTCACTGTCACCCTGCTATGAGCCCAGAGTCAAGGAAAGAGAGGCCTTTGCAGCTCCTGTCTAAGAGTCTGGTCCCTGGGAGGAGGGCTGAGGACTGTAGTGTGGCCCTGTATGTGTACGTGCACTTCAGGTGGGAGCTGCAGGAAGGAGGGCATGGCGTCCTGCCATTTTCGTCTTTTTTGAATAATGTGGGAGCATGCTTGCCTTCGATGCCCAGCCCCTCCCTCCTCCCTTGGTGCCCATCAGCCTTACTCACATGTCTCAAGGCCAGTTTGCTTTAGGTCCTCAACTCTCCTGACAGTCTTCAGGCACTGTAAGTTGAAAGAGTGGGCATGCAGAGGAGGGAAGGGGGAGGGAAGGACTGTGGCAGCGGAGGGGTGACCATTCCCGGAGGAATGCTGTAGGCAATGAACCATTTGCATAAACAAAAAAAAAAAAAATTTGAGTTCCCAGTTTAGTTTTGGTTTTGAAATCTCTGTTGCTGGTGCCACCTGGTGGCCTACATGGGGAAGGGCGGAGGAAATGGGATCTGAATTTTTAGGGACTTGAGCCTGGAGGTTCAGAGTTTCTAAATCTGATTAGCATTTTCTCGGAGACTTCCCTGGAGGCTGCTGGCTGGGGTTTATTTGAGGTTCCTCGTCAAAGGCATCACAGCCTGCGGAGGCTATGTTTACAGGCCATACTTTCTGCTGATTCCCTTCTTGCTATTCCCACTCAACCTAGCAGCTATGGTGCAGGAATGGCTAGAGGGAGGAGGAGGATAGGTTTAGTTGTCATGGGGCCCTGGCCTGCATTGCTCATGAATGACATTTGAGCCTGGATGAGGAGTTGCTATCTCTAAGGACGCTAAAACAACACTAGGCTTTGAGCCCCACACCCAACCCCCATCACGGAACTCCGGCATGCCAATGAACTTAGATCTTCTTGAAGAGAGGGCAAACACATAGGGGAGAAACATCTTTTCCTGGGCATCTGGTCAATTTGAGTCCTCAGGAATACAATTGCTCAGCGCTTCAAGCAAAGGATGGAGCTGTAGATGGAGAAGGGAAACCAGGTCCCCAGACAGCTGTACTGTCCACAAGGACATAGTGTCCTGTTCAAAAGTTTTGCTCCTGTGTCCACAGCACCAAATACCTTATGTCACTTTGTGTGGAGGCTTGGGCTCAGAGGAGGCCTCCTGGTTCCTGTAACATTTCGGGCGACCCTGATATGTTTATTAGACGAACCTTCCATCCCTGTACCCCCACCCTAGCCGCTCTCCCCTACTAGTTTGCTTATGGGATTATTTATGTTAGGGGTCAGACTGTGGATTTTAAGGGCTCACAAATATGGAGCCAGTCTCCCATTGGACAGTGGCCAGTCATCTTGGAATGTAGCTGGAGAGCAGGCACACACATAAGATACAGGAACAACCAAAGTTTGGAATGTTTTTTTCAGCAGATTTGCATGTTAGAGCAGAGGCACGACTGGTCCGTGATTTTAGCATGATAAGAGCTACGCATGTCCTTGCCAGGTCAGGAAAGACAAAAGCTGAGGGAGAAGGAAGTGGGAATCTTGTCTAGTGAATTGCATGTTGGTATCCTAAGAGCTGCGCGAGTTACATGTGCATAATGGAGGCAGAGACAATAGGTAAAGAGGAGATGGTCCAACAAGTCAGCTGAAGCAATCCCATCACAGGGACTCTGAATTCTGTCATGACATCATGTGCCTTGACCAAAAATTGCCAAACCTGGACCTTATCACCTCAGGTCCAAACCACTTCAACTCTGTTCAAACATTCAAATAAAATTGAAATCTGTGTGTACATATAGAGATAAAAACAATTACATAGATCTAGACAAATATATGTAAGTATTTTGCTTTGTCAGTAGGAAAAATATTTTTATAAAAAATTCAATAAGCATAATAAATGCTTATTACATAAAACTTAGCCAGTAGAAAACAAGAGAAAATTAGTCAAAACCACTATATATAAAGCAACTTTCTCTTTAGTATATTTAGAATACTTTTACTTTAAATCTATTTATTTTTAAATATTTTATTTATTTGTGTGCGAGTGTTTTGCCTGTGTGTATGTAAGTGTGTATGTAAGTGAAGGCTGGAAGAGGGGACAGGTTACCTCAGAACCGGAATCACAGGCAGTTGTGAGCTTCCATTTTTTAGTGGTTTGGTTCTGAACCTGGGTCCTCCTAGACTATTTTTAATAGTCTTTTGAACTGTGCATAGGGTTTAAAAAGCAAAATCAACCATATTTAGATCCCGCCACCTTTCTATTTATTTATTTGTTGGTTTTCAAGACAGAGTTTCTCTCTGTAGCCCTGGGTGTCCTGGAACTCACTCTGTAGATCAGGCTGGTCTTGAACGGAATGGCACCACCTACTGGCTATTTTTTTTTTTTTTTTTTAAACTTTAAGAGGAGATCAAGGCTGGTCTTGAATGATCCTTCTTCCTCGAGTGCCTGGGATTTTAGGTGTCATGTGCTCAGCTTGGATCCTGCTGTTTTTCAGAGATAAACCATAGAGTATCTTTACCCTCAGCACTTCGTTCCTTTTCTTTTATGGTATCAATTCTCTATTCTCACTGAACTGTTGTGTTTTATTTTTGTCCTTCGCTGTAAATCACTCCAAATCTTTCCTACAAATTAAAGAGTTCATCTTCTCAGGCTGGCAGTGCCCTTGGTGATGAGGGCCAGCGGGAATGTGTGAACGTTCCTTCCCAGGGACTGAGTCTGTAAAGCTGGGGGGCTCAGAAGGGGGCCATGATGAGGTAGGTCTTGGGGACAGCTGAGAGGTATCCCAGAGAGCATGCAGGTCAGAACGAGATGTCCGTATCTTTCTGAGCGGTTTCCTCATTGTGAGACATGGTTGGAGGCTCACACACCCTTTGCCAGCACCATGCTAGGGTTAGTCGAGATAACAGGTGATGATCTCTGCTCACAGTAGATGCAGGAAGTATTACTGTAATTGCATGCAGGAGCTGTGATAGGCAGAGAAGCCAACCAATTCGCACATTTGAAGGTCAACAGCAGGTTCTCTGGACACAATGCAGTTAAAATCCCTTCCTTCACACTCCATCTGAAGGGGCGATAGCTGTTCCACAAGTAAATGCAGAAGAAACTGTCAGTGGATGAGGTAGGGGATTCAAAAAGATGCCCAGGGTGACACTGCCAGGCTTAACCGTGCATGTTTATAACCCCAGTGTTTGGGTGGCTGAAGCAGGATCGTTGCCATGAGTTTGAGGCTAGCCTGGGCTACAGAGTGAGATCCTGCCTTGAACAAGCAAAAAGATGTTCTAAGCACAGGTTGCTTAAATGTCCAGGGCTTCCCTGGTACAAAACCCGGGAAAGCTGAAGGCGAACGGGGCAGTGGGTGCAGCTTCTGATTTGGGATGGTGTAGGTTGAGGGAAGGGGGCTTTCTCTTGGGCAGTGGGTTGATGAATCAGTGACTTAAACAGGCTTCTCCGACCCCAAGTGGACCGACCCTCACTCCTACTCATCCTTGGCTGGGATCTCTATAGTACTGATCCACCACCTGGGGTCAGTCTTTGCCGTCCATCACCCTCTTGATCCAACCCACATAGTTGAGTACTTTGGTGTAGAAGCCGTATCCCTTGCCACACCCGATGCCCCAGGATACAATGCCCGTGGCCACCCAGTGAAGAGTACGATTGTCCCACACCACGTAGACGCTGCCACTGTCCCCCTGGCAGACACTGTTCATCTGAATCTCGTCCCCAACACAGAACATGTTGTCAGAAAACACCTCAGTCCGCCGCCTCCCGTGGAGCCAGGCAGCACAGGCCTCCCGGGGAGCTACGGGCAGCTGTGAGTATTTCAACTTTGTCGTTAACCAGCCCATCTCCACACCAAACCCACTGACATAGCCCCATAGACCGCTGTGGTAGAGGGTCTCATTGTCGGGCAGGCAGACTGGGAGGACGTTGGGGCCCAGAGGGACGCTGTGCTGAAGCTCAAGGAGGGCGATGTCCCCATTGAAGTTGTGGGACTCGTGCTGGCGGTAGTCTGGGTGAACCACGACCCTACGGACAGGAAGGTTCCCCAGTTTCAGCAGCTCGTCTACGTCTGTGTGACCGAGAAACACTTCTACACTCCGGTTCTTTCTGAGATAGACGCTGTCTTTGGGGTAGATGGTATGGGCAGCAGTCAGGATCCATCTGTCACCCAGCAGGGCTCCGCCCCCACGCCCGTAGATACTGGTGAAGGCTTGCCAAGGGAAGTTGCCCAGCTTTGCTGGGGAAGAACCAAAAGTCTTTGGATTCTGGGCAATGGGGATGACTGGTCGTCCACAGACTACAAGAGAGGAGAGGGAGGGAGAGCAATCAGAAACTGCAGGAGACTAGAGACCTGTGAGGTGCTGTGATGGGTGCGAGGACGCTCCCAGGTGCGAGGAGGCTCCCAGGTGCCAGGAGGCTCCCAGGTGCCAGGAGGCTCCCAGGTGTGACTCTGCAGAGGGCCAGGACCTTCCAAGTATTGATGTGAACAGTGAATCAGTCTTATGACATGGGATATACATCCTCCATGGGGCAGGACGGAGGTGGCCTTCCCGTCTGCTGCTTCAGACATCTTTGAGCCGCTCCTTAGCTCTGATGGGGCTATCTCTGGTTCAAGGTTTGTCTTTAGTGCTTTTCACCTGGTTTCTGTGTCACTCCCTCATAGGTAACGACTCCCATGCCACCCTTCCCCAGCCCAGGCTGCCCTTAGAGTGTTCTGTGGGTCACATTTGGTTAGGGGGACAGTGCCTTCATTAGAAAATATAGATTTCACCAGGCATGTGGGTATAGGCTTATAGTCCCCAAATTTGGGAAACAGACAGAAAAATGAGGAGTTCAAGGACATCTTTGGCAACATATTCTGGGGAGTTTAAGACAATTCTGGGCTTTATGATATTGCCTCAAAAAGCAAAGCAAAGCAAACAAAAAACCAAACCCACCATCACCACCAATACCAACATTACCAACAACAAAAAATCAAAACACACAAAAAGAATGTCATGCCATTATAATGTGGATGACCTTGAAAGTGTTAGGTGAAAGGGAGAAGCAAGCCATACTTAGTCTCATAAAGTGTGGTTCCATTCATATGAAATGTCCAGAATGGACAACTTCATAGAGGTAGAAAGCAGGGGCTAGTAGTTAACAGGGCATGCTGTGTGTGTGTGTGTGTGTGTGTGTGTGTGTGTGTGTGTGGTTTTGCTGAGGTTTGAACTCAAGACCTTATGTATCTCAGACAGGTGGCCTACCACAGAGCTACTCCCAGCCACCTCTCTGAGTCGAATCTTGACCTTTGGAGAATGAGGGGCGAGCTCCTTCCCCCTTCTTTCTGGGCCCTCTGCACATCCTTTTCTAATGAGCTTTCTGTCTTCACCTCTGTTTTCTATTCAGTGCTTCCCTTTCACCCCAAGTCCCAGCCCTCCCAGAGGACCACTGCCACCTGGTCACTGCAATAGTATTAGGCGGGTACCCACCTGGCACACATTGAGGAACCTCTTCCCTGTCCTGTCTGTCCTTCCAAGTCCCCAAGGATGGGCAGCTGGATGTCCCTGTGGAGCAGAATGAGAGACGGCAAAGAAGTAAGCCCATCTAATAGGATGGGCACTCAAAAGGTCTCCGGCCTTTCTATAGGAGCAAGACAGATGGGAACTACTTGTTCAGCAGGCGGGGCTCACCGGTCTGTTTGGCTTCATAGTAGGGGTCTTGACAGTGGTTCTGAACCCTGGGAGGGTTGGCTCCAGGTGTGGTGACAGCCTCAGAGTCCCCATTGGTTTGGCTCACAGCTGTAGGGGAACAGAGGTTCTTAGGGTCTCACAAAGACTTGCAAACCGGCAACTTGGGGGATGATTCTGGCTGTGTCTGTATGGTCAACACACAGCTCAGCCATGTCTGCATGGTTAATGCACAAGACATAGAAAAATCCATCCTGGTTTTCACTGATCAGGGTTTTAGTACTCCAACAGCTTGAAAACAACTGTGAGAAGTAGGTTGTTGCAGAATATTTGTTTAACTATGCAAAGATATGTTGCATTTCTTTAACTATATAAAGGGGGTGTTGTATTGTTTACAATGTGGGATATTGTTTAACTATATAAAGATGTGTTGCATCTGTTTAATTATGCAAAAATGTGTTGCTGTTTTACATCACTTGCCTGAGGTACCTGACTGGTCTAATAAAAAGCTGATTGGCCAATAATAAGGGAGGATGTATAGGCAGGACTTCCCGGCAGCGAGAGAAAATAGGAGGAGGAATTTAGGCTCAGGAAGAAAGAAAAACAGATGCCAGGGAGATTTCAGAGATCAGCCAGACAGACAGAGAGGAAGCAGGAAAGTAGGATGAATGAAAGGTTAAAAAAGTCCTATGCAAAACATAGACGAATAGAAACAGGTTAAATTAATTTTAAAAAGCTAGTGGGCTGAGCATTCTTATTTACAATAAGTCACTGTGTCATCATCTTTTCTTTTCTTTTTTGTTTTTTGGTTTTTCCAGGCAGGGCTTTTCTGTTCTTTGTAGCTTTGGAGGCTGTCCTGGAACTGGCTTAGTAGACCAGGCTAGCTTTGAACTCACAGAGATCTACCTCTGCCTCCTGAGTGCTGGGATTAAAGGCATAAGCCACCAATGCTTAGCAAGTCCCTGTGTCTTTATTTGGGAACTGGTTGGCAGCCCAAGGAAAATTCCAACTACAGCTAGTTGTGGAGAAACAGGTCTTTCCAAATATAGCTGGTGGGTGTATTAATTAGAAAAACTTCTTTGGAAGGAAGTTAAATAACTTCAAAATTTAAAAATGCAAATGTGTTGTAGACTAGCATATGAATTTCTAAGAATTTACCATACAGAAATTCTCACACCTGTGCTCAAAGATGTGCATGTAAGGATATACACAGCCACATTGTTGGTGGCAAGAAAGTATCTATCCATGGAGGACTCACTAAATATTCATTACAGCAATCAAGGGGATATTATATGTTACTAAAAATATAAAGTGTCAATGCTCACCATATGCACGGGAGATGGTCTTTAAAATGCACTGAATCTGGGGCTGGAGAGATGGCTCAGCAGGAAAAAAACATTTGCTGTTCTTTCAGAGGACCTAGGTTCAGTTCCCAGCACCCATATGGCAGCTTATGACTCTAGCTCTAGGCAATCTTCTGCCCTGTATCAGCCTCTGAAGCTACATGGTGCACAGATATACATGCAAGCAAAACACTCACATACATATGGTAAAAATAAATAAATCTAAAAAACAAATAAGCCTTCAAAAAAGGACATGCTGAATGTAAAAAAGCGGTAGCACCAGGACATTCTGTATACTATATAGCAAACAAGTGCAATGTATCTTCAAGGATGTGGAATGTCTTTGGAAAAATGCTTAGCAGATGAAAGCAGAGCTGTTTCTGGAAAGTATAACAGAGACAAATATCAGAGATCAGAGGAAATCTTACTTTTCACACCTTAATTGAAAAAGTATTTATTATATGTAAACATTATCTTCCAAAAAAAAAAAGCAAGTCATTGTTTGAAAGATCTAGAATTTCACTTACTACCCTGGCTTTCTGATTTCCTTTGATCTGCACTCAGGGCCTGTACACATCCCTGGAATTAATGCCTGCAGCCAAGCAATGGCTACCTCCTGGGTAGGCTGCTCAGTTTCCAGCTCAGCACCAGGATAGGGATAGTCAGTTCGGGATCCCCAGTCCCTGAGCCTCCCTGTCACCTTCAAGGGGCCGGGGACTAGGGGTGGCTTCATGAAGTTTCTCTGCCTACACTCCAGGAGGGACCCTCACCTACAGCTTGGTAGAGAGCCAGGAAGCCTTTGTGGACTTGTGTGATCTTGTTCTGGGGAGAATGTGCCCGAAAGGTCAGCCTCAAACTCCTTCCGGAGGACACAAACTCTCTATGACCAGGAGGGCTCTCCAGAGAGGAAGCATGCTGCCCGCACAGCCGGATTGCATCTGTCCCTCCGGTTGAAATCTGAAAGAGGAAAGAGAGGACAGGAAGTGTGAGGCCAGTCTGTACCACTGGCCACAGGATGCAGCCATGTCTGCCATCACTCTAGCTCTGCCTGGAAGCGATGCACCCCTGTGGAGCTCAGGAGCTCAGGTCTGCCTGAATGAGCTTTCTCTCTTGCTACTGACTCCCAAGTTCCCTAGAGTGACCATGTATTTGACTCTCTCTTGTGTCTACCCTAATTACCTTGTAAACTTACTCAATAGTCTCTTCTTCCAGGGGATTCCTCCAAACCCTGGGCTTTCTACACCTCTCACTGGATTGTAAATTCCAAGAAAAGACTACATCTGCTTTGTGCAAAATTGAGTCCCTGATGCTTATATCTGGCCCCCCAGACCTTAGCACACTGACTCCATGATGGAAGTGCCACTCAGGCCATAAAACTCAGCAGGGAGACAGCACCTCCTGCCAAAACAAAAGCAAAAAAATTCATCAAAGTCCACAGTTCTGGGAAAGTCTCTCCTGTACTAACCTTGCTTTTTGGTTTCTGTAGTTCTACTTCTGGCTAACTGTTCTTGTTAACTGAAATGTGTCAACCCAGGATATGTTTTCTTCTGTGTGCTTAAAAGATAACCCTGGGCTACACTAGGACCCCAGTGTAGTCATGGCTGGCTAAAAAAGACTTACTATTTTTTCTTTTTCTTTTCTTTTCCTTCCTTCCTTCTTTCCCACCTACCTACCTTCCTTCCTTCCTTTCTTTCCTTTTTTCGAGACAGGGCTTCTCTATGTAGCCTTGGCTGTCTTGGAACTTACTCTGTAGACCAGGCTGGCCTTGAACTCACAGAGATTCTTCTGCCTCTGCCTCTGCCTCCTGAGTGTTAGGATTAAAGGCACACATTCCATTGGCTTCAGCCCATGTCTGAGTAGTCTTCTCTGGTGGATACCCCACAACATTTCTGGAGGTTCCACCGAGACCCCTAGAGACCAGAGCTAAAGACACAGGGGGTCTCAGATCCCCTTGGAATAGGTGGTCAAGGGGCTCTTACCAGATGTACAACTGGAAATGTTCCAGGTCCCCAAGACCTCCTTTGATCAATGGCTACCTGATGACGTTTCAGAGGAGTCTGACACCTCCACCCCAAAAGGAAACAAATTAGAAAGTTGCCTGGCTTATCACTCCCAGAGGCAGTCTGGGTAAAGGCACCTTATGTGTCTGCACACAGAGGAGAGGTTGGACATGCAGTGTTCGGAATCCATGTGAGATGTCCCTGGATGCCCCGTCTGCTCAGGTGTATGAATGTGTAGTGGCAACCCTGATTGTTTTTACACTCTCTCTGTGTTTTTCTATGCACCCCATCAGTTGTTTCCCTGTATCGACAGCAGCTTTCTCTGGTGTGATCCCCTCCCCCCCCCACACACACAAGGGCTTAAGAACGGTGCCTCTTGTTGGGGACCTGAATCCTTTTGGCTCTGCCAGGTCACCCAGAGGAACCAAAAGAGTCCCTCATGTGTCCCACTCCTGGAGTGCTTGCTTGTTTTGTTACTTGCCTCCCACTTACAGTCTGGGTCTGTTTGGACTCTGTGGAGGTGGGGCCAGGCCAGGCCCCTCTCATCCAGGGCTCCCAGTCATCCAAGCAGAATGCTCACAGGGAGGAAGGAATAGTTCCCCCAAGGTGAGCATCCCTCTGTTCCCCTGCCTACTCTAAGCAGCCCCGGGAAAGGGGAAAAGTAAGTTCTACTCTCTCCTCTTTCATGATTCTTCTCAACCAGTGAGCTGTATAATTGGAGAACTAAAAGCAATTGCCCCTGGGCCTGGCGAGGGATCACTGCTAGACAATGCAGCCTATGTAGAATGGATTTTCCCTTCTGTTCAACACAGACCAAGGAGACTTTAAACGACTCTCACTAGATAGATCCTTTTTAGAAGTATTAAAGACAGCTGCTAAAAAAATTTCCTTTGTCACCCAGTCGTCCCCAGATATTAGAAAAAACTTTAAAGTTAAAACAGTCTAAAGGTATAAATAGGTAGGTCACAGTTGCTGAAGGTAGCTCAAAAGGTGTTTACCACAAAAAAACTGAGAGGTGAGACCTTTCTCATATAGTAAAAGCCACCATCACTGTCTCTTATGATGAGACACAATTACTTACAGATACACTGAAACATTTTGTTGCCTTGCCCTCTGTCAGATCAATATCTCCTAGCTGTTGCCACTCATCAAAAGATATAGTTGGACTATCTCTCAGATTTACAACCAAGATGGGGGGGGGTATGGGCAGAAACCAACTCCTCAAGGCTGTCCCAACACCAAATTCCTATAATAGTTCAGCTAACCAGTTCAGCTACCCTTGTTCAGATTAAACAACACCAAATGATTCGGGAAACAAAGTGAAATTGCAGTCCATATTGCCTGGCTCAGAGAGACAGGCATCCTGGTGCCCTCCCAGTCACCCTGGGATACGCCTCGCCTGCCTGTGAAGAAACCTAGGACGCCTGATTCCTCCAGAGAAACAGGTACCCCAGGCTTAGACCCTGAAAGTTGCATTCTCCAGCCTCCTACTGGTGAACTCTGGGAAAGTCAACTTCACCAAGATGCAGCCTGCCACAGAGGATACAAGTACTTGCTAATTTTTATAGATACTTTTTTCAAGAGGGCAGAAACATTCCTGACAGACTGAAACTACTCAAACAGTAGCTTAAAAATCTCCAGGAACTGGTTCCCTGATTTGGCCTCTCCCCTGGATATGGGTCTGGACAACAGCCTATCATAGCCAGAACATCTCAAATAATAGTAAAAGCCTTAGGTATGGATTGGAAACTTGATTGTCTATCTAGACCTCAGCGTTCTGGGCAGATAGAAAGAATAAACAGGATGTTAAAAGAAACACTAACAAAACCTTATTAGAGTCCAGGGAAGTGGGGATAGACCTTCACTTTGCTTTGCTTTGGACCAGCTGTATCTCATATAGGGAGGGATTTCCCCCTGTGAGATTATGTTTGGAAGACTCCTGGACTGCTTCCCAGGCTCAAAGACCAGCAGTTGGCAGAACTCTCTAACCATTTGTTTCTCAAGTTACCACAGCCCTCCAGTCCTCCACTGCACTATTTGAGTCACATGGCTGACCCCTGAGTCCACCACAAGTTTTTCCTTGTTTGAATCTGGTGATACTGTCTGGGTCAAGCAGGTAGCCCAAGGGATGCTGGAACCAATTTTGAAAGGATGCTTCATGGTGACTTTTTCCGATCCCATTGCTGTGAAGATGACTGTCATTACACTATGGACCCATCACACCCAGGTCAAGAATGTGGAAGCTATAGCCATGGCTGCTTCCATAAGTGCCAAATGAGCAGTCTCTAGACTAGGTTTCACCAGGCCCCGGGCCCCCACTCCTGGCCTCCACTTGCTTCTGAGTCGTATTTTAGTATGAATACAGGATCATGGTCCAGTGCTCACTGTCCTCAGGTCTGGGTCTGGGAACTGAGGAAGACAGACATAGGGAAGGCAGTAGAGTGACTACAGACCAGCAACCTGTATTCATTTTGACCTTTGCTCACTGATGCCCACCTTAAATGTTTGGTTCATTGAAAAACAAAACAAAACAAAAACCAATGTGGGGTTTTCTCTTTTGAGATAGGAACCTAGACTTTACAATTCTACGCATGCCCTACAGCTGGGACCCCTACTTGCCAAGAACAAGGGAGTTTCCATTGAAAAAATTAGGGTTGTGAAACACAGGCTTTCTGGAAAATTCCTTTGAAAAGATTCTGACCTTTAGGAAACAGGGAAAACTTGGGGAATCAGACTGTATACCACAGGAAGGGACCCTAGGGAGAGATTTAAACCACCCCTTAATAGGCCAGGACCTATTTCTGAATAAAACAACAGTTGGATTTCCTTGTAGAAATATTCTACAGAATTGGAGAGGTTTAAACTTTCTTCTCATGAGATAAGGGGTGGGGTGGGGGCTGTGTATGGCTTCAGGAGAAACCTGCTGCTTCTGTGCTAATCAATCAGAAGTAATTAAAACAGTCTTACTATGGTTGGCCAAAAACTCAAAAATTTCAAAGATACAAATCAAATAACTGATACTAATGTCTGTCCTCCTGGTCCTGTTGGCTAAGCCACTCTGTTCTCAGTACTGGCTGGGCCATTAATTCTTATTCTGATAGTTTTAACAGTGGGGCTTGCATCTTAAACTATTTGATCAATTATGTATCAATTCAGTAAAATTAATGGTCATTAGGATCAACTACGCCTCTTTAGAGCAGGATCAGTCAATATTTGACTCATTCACGAAGATCAGTGGGGAATGTAACAGGCCCCAGACCTTAGTAAGCCCCAGATGTTAGCACAACTGACTCCATGATGAAAGTACCATTCAGGCTGTATAACTTGGCATGGAGACAGCACCGACTGCCAGGATGAAAACGAAGACCTAACCCAACAAAGTCCACAGTTGTAGGACAGTCTCTAAAGTACTAACCTTGCTCTTTGGCTTCTGTAGTTCTACTTCTGACTAACAGTTCTTGTTAACTGAAGTATGTCAACCCAGGATATGTCTGTTTGTGCTTAAAAGCTCATCCTGAGAAAGCTTACCCAGTGTAGTCTCCATCTGGCTAATAAACTTCCTGAGCAGTCTTCTCTGGTGGACACCCCCGACAGTGCTCATCACGGTGTCTCTAATGCCACCACTTTGGATCAGAGTATACACACATGAAGTCCCAACCTGTCACCTTCCACTTTTCTGAGTAACTTCCTACAGCTAGCATCTGTAAAGCAATGGGCCCTCTGTAAAAACAGCCTGGGCTTTGTGCCCTTTCTAGTTTCCTCTTGGGTATCCTTCCTCTTGTTCTATTCACTCTACACAAAATCTTTAGAGTGTGTGGGAACCCAAGGTTGTAAAATGTACATGATGTGGGCATGCTGGGGACTGGAATGACCTTGCTTATTATAGGACTCAGGGCCTCGTGTATCCCAGGCAAGTGCTACACTCCAGCCCTTGGTTTTTGGAGACAGGGTCTCTCTACATAGCCTGTAGTGACCTCAAACTCTGTATTAACCCATATATCTTAGATGATGCTTCTGTCCCTGCCTTCTCCCCCTGCCCCCTCTTCCTCCTCCCCTTACTCATTTTCTTCTTTGACCCTGTAAAACTGGCCTCAAATTTGTGATCCCCTGTCTCAGCCCTTTGAGTGCTGGGATTCGGATGTATTACCACTAAAACATCTGGTTTATTCTTGGTGGTTTTGTTTCAGGCAGAGTTCCATGATGTAGTCCAGGTTGGCCTGGGACTCAGTATGTAGCCCAGGCTTACATTGAATTTGTGACAATTTCTGCCTCAGCTGAGCTACCACACTAGGCTTATGCTGGAATCTTGCTAGTTCTGCATTCTCTCATTCACTACAACGACTTGTCCAGCCTGACTCTCTATGGTCACATTACTGAGAAGTTGTCAGGAAAACATTTCTCAATCACCATATATGTCTTGCTCAGATGTGCCCATGACTGATCTTTCAGCGTCAGCAAATGGAGCTCTCCACATTTAGGAGGCAGGAAACACTTGACATAGAAAACATCTCCTCTGATTGACCTGAGTATAAGCCCTCTTACCCTTTCTCCTCCTCAGTCCTTTCCATGTCTTCCCTTCCTATTTACTCCCCTCCCCCTCCATTCCCAGTGTTTGTGTTCTCTCTCTGCATGTATGTGTGCTCTGTGTGTGGGTAGTGACCAGGGGGTGCACACATCCATGAGTACATGGGTAGAGGTCAGAAGTCAACACTCTGTGTCCTCTTTTATTGTTCGCCACCTTATTTTCTGAAGCAGGGTCCTTCACTTAATCTAGAGCTCGCCATTTCAGCTAGCTGGCTGGTCAGTGAGCCCTGAGATGCCTCTGTCTCAGCCACACCCCATCTAGCACTGGGATTGCAGCACGCCTGCCTTTTGCGTGGGTGATGGGGATCTGAACTCTTTGCTTACGAAGCAAACCCTTTACCCTCTGAGCATCTCCCAGCCATTTTCATTTTTTTCTTTGTTAGCTTTGAGTCAGCATTTCATGTAGCTCGTGCTAGCCTGGAACTTGCTGCATAGCTGAGGTTGGCCATGAATTCCCGACCCTCTTGCCTCTACCTCCCAAGAACTGGGATTATAGGCATGCACCAGTGTGCCTGGCTAGCCCTCCAATTTCCTTTTTACCTCTTCTCATGAATGGTCTGATAATGGAATTACTCAAGCTTCTACCTAGTCATGCAGAGTCAACATATAACTGAGAGCCACAGATCTTACTAAATCTAGCTTTTGCTCTTTATCAGCTCACTGTGGGACATGGGACTTTCTTTTCTTTCTTTCTTTTGTGTGACTTTCTCTGGAAGCAGAAAGGAGGGAGAAATTATGTCCTGCGGTTAATAAAAAGCTGATTGGCCTGTAGCCAGGCAGGAAGAACAGGTGGGACAACCCAAACTAAGGACTGGGAAGAGAGGGGCAGAACCAGAGGAGAGGCCATCAGATGCAGAGGAAGCAGGATGTTTAGAAAAAGAGGTAACAAGCCATGAGCCACACGGCAGAGGGCAGATGAGGAATGTGGATTAATTTAAAATGTAAGAGATAATAAGTAACAAGCCAGAGCTACTGTCCACATCTTTATAATTAACATTAATGGTTATTTGGGTAGTGGCTACTGGAATAGGAAAACTCCACCTATCTTTATCTCCTTCTCACTTCAAACCCCACTAAGATGACACCAATGCCACGCACAGCCAAGGACAGAAAGAGTGAGAGGAGATGATGACGGGACTGTCACTTTCAGGGGTCAGCAGAACCAAGAAACTTTCAGGAGAAAAGACGACGGGAGGCTGATGAGAGGCCAACAGACAGCAGATCTGCGTGGGAAGACCTGAGGATACTACATCCTGGTCCCCACCCTGTGACCCACCTTGGTAGAAGATGCAAACTTAACCAGAAACCCGAGGCGGAGGTCCCAGGTACACTTGACAGAGGAGGTAAAGGCCAATACCCAAACCAGAGGAATAAAATGAAGGCCTACCAACCACTGAGGGGCATCTACCCCTGGATCCCTGTTCCCAGCTTCTTTCCAGAAAGATGGGAGCCCCGACTAGGAGGCGGGAAGGGTCCTTTCTGGGGAAAGGGACTGCCCCAAACAAAAGGTATCTACATACCGAACTTCAGGAGGCTCCGGTGACACCTCTATGTCACCCTGTTAAGGCTGTCTACTATGCTCTGGCTATTTCAAAATGATAGTGCTAGGGGTAATTAATATCTGTACCTTCATTGTAGGGAGTAGGTTAGTTATTGCAGAAGTGCGTTTCCAGTGGAAAGGGTGAACTGGGCCCTAGTTTTCCTTGTCTCTTGATGCTTGCTTGCCATGACAGCATGAAGCCCTCTCCTCACCAGTGCTTTGCTCTTGGACTTCCCCGGTTCCCAGACCATGAGCAAAATAAACTCCTATTGCTTACAAATTACCCAGCCTATGGCATTTTGTTACAGCAGCAGAAAATGAACTGAGGCATCGTTTTCAAACCCATCATTTGACAAAGTTTAGCTATTCACATAGAATTTTAAATCAGTAGCTTCGTGTTTTAACCTTAAATAGGAATGGTAAGGTGAATATTATTAGATGTTGCAAAAAAAAAAAAGTATCTCAGAGAAAAAGCAGGGGTGGACACAAGCAAGCAGTGAAAAGAGACACTGGATAAAACAGCGATAATACAGAAAACAAGAAACATTTGAAGCCAATCCCCATGGGAGGGGAACAAGCAGGTATTGCACATGGACGATAAGAACCTCATATTTAGAAAGAGTGAGTCCTTATGAAGAAACCATCAACTAAACGGTTTGCATATAAAGATGAGGACATTGGGGCTAAAAGTGTAGTTCAGTGTGAGTGTTTGTCAGTATGTGTGAGGCCCTAGGTCGACTCCTAGCACCACAAAACAGAAAGACAAAGAAATATTCTAGAAAGAGGAGCAAAAAGGCAAAGAGTTAGAAAACAGAAAGAACAGGGAACTAAACTAGAAAAATCGGTCCTCATCGTACAAGAGCTGAAGCTCAGGGGAGACTGGTGGCTCACAAACACCTGTAACCGCAGCTCCAGGGGATCGGCTGTGCTTTTGCCCTCAACAGGCTCCCGCCAGCACATGCACACGCAGGCACATGTATGTGCATGCACATACGTGCATGCACACGCACACGCACAAGTAAAAAAGGAACAAGAAAGGAAGCCGGTATCTATAAATTATTAAATAAATAAAGCAAGAGTGTTCCCAGGCCAGGTGGTGGTGGCGCACGCCTTTAATCCCAGCACTCCGGAGGCAGAGGCAGGAGGATCTCTGTGAGCTTGAGGCCAGGCTGGTCTATAGAGAGAGTTCCAGGACAGCCTCCAAAGCAATACAGAGATGCTCTGTCTGGAAAAAAACAAAACAAAAACAAACACCCCCCCCCCAAAAAAAAACAAAAAAACAAACACAAAACCATTTCCAGAACTAAAGGACTAGGGTAACCACCCGAATACAGTATATGAAGAGTCATCTCTATCTTGGCACATCAAATAAAAGCTAGCCTCAGTAACTTATTTTTTTGTTTTTGGGACAGGATTTCCTTAAATAGCCCAGGCTGGCCTTGAACTTGCTCTGTAGTCCAGGCTGGGCTTGAACTTTTTGATCTTTCTGCCCCAGCCTTTCAAGTTCTGGGACAACAGGCTCAAACCACCAAAACTGGCTATGATTTTTGACCTTAAAAATTATTTTATTTTGACATAAAAAATTTAACCCAAAAGATAATATAAGCTATGATTTTAAAATACTCTTATTTTGAACTGTGCCCTTTCTGTAATTTTATGACATCTCCTCCCAGGTGAACTTGGTCTTCACTAGATACTTCAGTCATTTGTCGCTAATTATGTCCAGTTTCCTATCCAATAGAGTGAGAGGTCCCAGACCATTGACTAGATAGTGGACCAGCAGTATTCATGTGTTTCTTTGAAAGTCCTCAAAACCCAGGGCCTGCCCTGCAGCCTTCTCTCTTGCTTGGTGAGTCTCAGTGGGTTGCCGGGAATTGGAGATGGTAGTGGCTATGTACCGAGTGGATAGGCTGTTGCTTCTTAGTTTAGCTAGGTTCCAGGACCTCTGACTTGGACACTTAATCCCTTCTTTAGATGAGTGATTCAAGGCAGAGCTATGTTCCACTGCCCATGGGAGACTCCCTCCCTGGAACCCCTTGCCCAGCTCACTGTGACAGAGTCTCCTTCACAGCCTGGGGACGGCTCCATATCAAAGTCCTGGAAGACCAGTCTCACGACAAACCCCTCTGGAGCCTCGATGACAATGTGGCTCTCCTGGCCTTTGAGATATGGCTCTGGATATCCCGGGGATGTCACTTGCTGTGGTAGCTGCTGGGCCAAGAGCACAGAGGCCTGTGTAGGGCAAGTATGGAGGATTCCCCAAAGGAGCAACAGCCAGCACCTGCGAGTGGGTGGGGGAGACAAGGTGAGGTCATAGAGCTCTACCAGAGGCGTATGCATGCATCGGGTTGTAGCAAGTGATGGTTAGGGACCGAAAGGCTTAGGGGACAGTAGCTGTGTCCTTAGCCCCAGAGTGCAGGTACTTCCTGATGCCATTTTCCTCACCCGTCTGTGTAGGAGCCTATCTGGGTTCCTCTGCAGCCTGATCTCCAAGACTGCAGGTTTTCTAACCAGCATAGATATTGCTATGGCCAGTTTCATCTAAGCCAGGTGGCCTCCTGCCTCAGCGAGGCCTAATCCCATCCTGGAGTACAAGTTAGGGGACATTTAAACATGATATCTGGCTCAGCACATTGAACAGACCACTTTCAGGTAAATTCAGTTCCCTCTGGGGTGTTCCCATCCACCCTCTCGTGTGTGCACACATCTGTTTGTCTGTCTGTCCTTCCGTGTGTGTGTGTGTGTGTGTGTGTGTGTGTGTGTGTGTGTGTGTGTGTGTGTGTGTGTGCGCGCGCGCGCGCGCGCGCGCGTGCGCGTGTGTTCTGCCTTCCTCTCTCCCTGTCCCTCTCCTCCTTCAGTGCCCTCTATGGGCAAACTCACATCTTGCCCAGGCAGCTTGTGGAGGGAGAACGCCACAGGTGGTTTCCAGCTCTGGGACCCGGCCTCTGGAACCTGACATCTGGAACCGACTAGAGTGCTTAGCCCAGGCCAGGGAATAGGAGGAGGTGGGGCCAGATGAGGCCCTTTGGGGAGAAGGCAGAAGTTACTGGAAATGAGTTAAGATACTCTGGGTCAGTGCCACCTGCTGTCAGACTGAGGAATAGCTCTTACCGGAATTGAAAACATCTTCGAAACCATGCTGGGGGACAGAGCAGAGTGGGAGAGAGTTGACCCTTGACTCTAGTGCTTTTTTGGGGGGATAGGGCGGTGTTGAGATAGAGTTTAGTTTAACCCAGGCTGGCGTCAGACTTGCTTGTAGTGGAGGCAGGTCTTGAACTCCTGCTCCTTCTGCCTCCTCTCCAGAGCTAGAATTACAGGTGCGTGCTACCATACACAGATCTTGTTGTGTTTTTGAAACAGAGTGTCTCTCCCTTTGTAGCCCAGGAAGGCATGGAACTCACTATGCTGTCCAGACTGACCCCCAAACTCAGGGCAATCCTGCTGCCGAAGCCTCTGGAGTGCTGGGATTGGAGGCGCACACTCCATACCCAGCTCTCCTGTAGTATTTTACCACATGAGTGTATGTGGGTAGTAAGAGGTTTCTCATGATGTATGACGCACTAATCTGCCCTTCCCCTTCACTTTACCAGTCTGCCTCTTGGAGAACATGAAGTCTGTGACCCATGAACTTGAGCTTTCTTTGCCTTGGTTCAGAGTGGGTGAGTTCATGCACTTAGTCATTTGAATCCCAACCACAACATCTGGAGGCTCCTTGTCTAGCAAAATCAGGACTGTGGTCCAGCCCAGGTATCTTGGAATCCCTAGGGACTCAACTCAGTTGATAACTCAAGCTTTGAGGCCAATACCAGGAGGCGTACAACTTGAGCTAGAGGATCTCTCCCTGCACCCACCAAGGAAGACAACTTACTCATAGCTTGGTGAGTGTGAGAAGGTTGGAAAGCACAGGCAGAGGAGGGTTGTCCTGTCCTTGGGGGAAGCAGGTGTGTGTAAAGGTTTGCACTCTAGCATCAGTTGCTTCCTCCATTTGGAATGTGGTTATTTGGCTTCTCACAAAAGCAACACACTATGAACAGAGGAAGTGTTGTGGTGGTTTGAATGGGAATGGTCCCTGTAGGCTGGGGATGGTCCCTCTAAGTTGGGGATGGTCCCTGTAGGCTGGGGATGGTCCCTGTAGGCTGGGTATGGTCCCTGTAGGCTGGAGATGGTCCCTGTAGGCTGGGGATGGTCCCTGTAGGCTGGGAATGGTCCCTGTAGGCTGGGGATGATCCCTGCAGGCTCACATATTTGAATACTTGATCCTCCTACCCCACACCCCACACCAGGCCTAGTCTTGATCTCTCTCCACCTGCAACTTGTGGATCAGGTGGGAAATCTCAGGTACTTCTCCAGTGCCATGCCTGCCTGCCTACCACCTTGCTCCTCTCCATGATGATAATGGACTAACCCTTTCAAACTGTAATTGAGTCCCCAATTAAATGCTTTCTTCTGTAGGTTGCCTTGGCCATGGTGTCTCTTCACAGTAATAGAACAGTATCTAAGACAAGTATGTTCAAGGTGTTTGGTTTCAGCAGACTTAAGAAGGTCAGAGAGCTACAGTCCATGCCTACAAGGGAACAGGTAGGGAGTGAGGATAAGGGCATTCAGTTTCCTAGAATCAATATTGAGACGTGATCTACCCTGGTTGTGCCATATCTCAATCCCACACACCCCTGGAGATGATCCCACCCTTTTTTTTTTTCCTGGCTGGGATAGGATCCAGGGCCTTGCACATTCTAAGCAAGTGCCCTACTACTGAACTATATCACAAACCTATTTGTTTGTTTTGAGACAGAGCCTCAATCTGTAGCCCATGCTAGCTTTGACTTTTTGCCCTCATGAGTGCTGTGATTCTAGGCATGTACCTTGCCTGTAGCCATCCTTAGAGGAGTGGGCCCTTTCAACTGGGCTCCTGGGACTATTGCAACCTATTTTTAAGATAGGATCTCACCCATCCTAGGGTTTGAGCACTGCAGAGGACTGAATAATGGGGGGCAGCTACTCTGAGCTTCATTAAAAGATGCTCCTACTACTACAAAAAAAAAAAAAAAAAAAAAAAAAAGAGAAAGAAAGGATCTCACTAAGTGGCCCTAGCTAGTCTGGAGCTCACCATGTAGGTCAGACTGGCCTTGAACTGATGTGGGATGTCCTTCTGTGTGCTGTAAATATGCATCGCTTTTATTGGTTGATGAATAAAGCTGTTTTGGCCAATGGATAGGCAAAATATAGCTAGGTGGGAATTCCAATCAAAGATGCAGAGAGAGGGAAGGCAGAGTTAGGAAGATACCATGTAGACTCTGGGTAAGCAAGATACCAGAGTATCACCAGTAAGCTACAGTCATGTGGTGTTACACAGATTAGTAGAATGAGCTAATTTATGTGTGTGTGTGTGTGTGTGAGAGAGAGAGAGAGAGAGAAAGAACGAGCTAACTAGTAATAAGCCTAAGCCACTAGCCAAACAATTGTAAATATATATTATAGTGGCACCTTGCCTTGCCAATAAACTTGTAGTGGTGGCCACACCTGTTGGTCATGATCTCAGGAGCCGTGGGGAGAGGAGCCGTGGGGAGGGGAGCTCTGCTTCCTTCATCAGAGCCTTTTCACTTTCTTTTGTGGGCAGGGTCTCACATAGCCCAGGGTGGCCTCAAACTCTATATAGCTGAGGATGATCTTGAACTTGTGATCCTTATGCTCCCACCTTCCAAGTGCCAGAGTTAACAAGTGTGCACCACCATGCTCAGTTTATGTGGTGTTGCGGATGGAACTCAGAGCCTTGTGCATGCTGGGTAAGTTCTTCATCAACCAGGCTAGCTCGTTCACTGAGGCTCTTCCCCTCACCGTGCTACCATGATGGAATGCAAACGATTTCATTTCAAGACTAACATTTCTTCTTTAAGTTGCTTTTGTCAGCCATTTTAGCACAACAAGGAGGAAATAACTAATACATAATCCAAAGTTACTCAAAATGTAAGGAAAGAATAATACAGACCATGCTTGTGAGAAACGTTAATTTACAGAGTGTGCTGGCTACTTTTGTGGCAACTTGACAGCAGCTAGAGTCATTCTGGAAGAGAGAACTTCACCTGGAAAAATGCCCCTGCCAGTTCCGCCTGTGGGCAATCCTGTAGTACATTTTCTTGATTGACGATTGGTGTGGGAGAGCCCAGCTCACTGTGGGCGGGGGGCGGGGCCAGGCTAGACAGGAAGCGGCACTCCTCCATGGCCTCCTCATCAGTTCCTGCGATGACTTCCTTCGATGCTGGACCGTGATGTGCAAGTCTACGCCAAATAAATGCTTTCTTCTCCAAATTGCTTATGGTCATGGTGTTTCATCACAGCAATAGAAACTGGAGTTAACTAGGCAGTGGTGGCACACGCCTTTAATCCCAGCATTTGGGAGGCAGAGGCAGGCGGATCTCTGTGAGTTTGAGGCCAGCCCAGTCTACAAAGTGAGATCCAAGACAACTAGAGCTACACAGAAAAACTTTGTCTCAGAGGGAGAAGGAGAGAGAGAGGGAGAGGGAGAGGGAGAGGGAGAGGGAGAGGGAGAGGGAGAGGGAGAGGGAGAGGGAGAGGGAGAGAAACCTGAACTAAGGCACAGAGACAATCTTTCAAAATGACACAGATGTTGGAAACAGTAAACAGAAAGATGCAAGAAAAAAAAAAAAAAAAAAAAAAACCACCTACAACAAGGAGGAAAGGGGAAAGGTAGGGACAGTATATAAGGAAGTTAAAACTTTGACAGCAGCCAAAATTAGATAGAAGACATGCGCCTACTGTGTTTTCACCGCCAATAAACATCACCACAATCAAATGAGAGATTTCTCCAGAGGAAACACACCAACTGCAGACACTCGGTTATACCTAACCTAGAAGAATTGACACATTTGGTAAATCAGGCCTTTCCAGATACTAGAAAGAATGGCACACAGTTTGATTTTGCAGTTTTTTTGTATTTGTTTGTTTGTTTATTTATTTGTTGAGACAGGGTCTCATATAACCTGGGATAGCCCTGAGCTGGGTATGTAACCGTTTTAGTTAATTTTCCTGTTTTAAAATTCCCCAACAAAAGCAACTTAGAAAGAAGGCATTTATTTTGGCTCATAGACCAAGGAAACAGTCCCTCGTGGTAAGGAAGTCAAAGCACCAATAACTTGAAGCTGTGGGTCACTGTATCCACAACCGGGAAGCAGAGAACATCAAATGCGTGTGTGCTGCTAACTCTCTCCTGTTCATACAGTAGTGTGTGTCTGTCCTAATTGATTTTCTAATGCAATAACAATTTTCTATTGCTATTTCTATAAGCAAGGCGACACCAAGAAAGCCGGAGCTTGCAGTTTCAGAGTGTTGGAGTCCATAACCATCATTGTGGAGAGTGTGGTGACAGGCAGGCCTGGTGCTGGAGCAGAAGCTGAGAGCTCACATCTTGAGACATAACCTCGAGGCAGAGAGAGGTAACAGGGAATGGCATGAGCTTTAGAAATTTCACCCCCCCCCCCAGCGACAGGAAGTGTTTAAACTGTTCTATTATCAGCAAAACTTGGGAGTCAGATATTGGGACAAAACCCTGATAGACTAAGACAGTGGGGGAAGCCTGGTGGTAGTGGTGCACACCTTTAATCCCAGTGCTCAGGAGGCAGAGGCAGGTGGATCTCTGAGTTCGAGACCAGCCTGGTCTACAAAGCTACACAGAGAAACCCTGCCTCGAAAAACAAAATAAACTAAACAAAACAAAAGAAGGAAAAAAAACAAAAACAAAAATAAAAAGACAGTGGGGGAGGAATGTCCAGCTGGCCCTCTCCTCACATTTCTCAGATTGAAAGAGCCTGTGAGTCTTTCAAGCCCTTCCCTACTCCTTCCTGTGTCTCTCTATCAAAACCTGGGTCCTCCAAAATCTCTATGGCTAATTACTGTCACGTAGTCGTTGACTTGCTCCCTGATTCAAGGTTAACTTTATTAACACAGTGTGATGAAATA